ACAAGAGCCTTTATATAAAGCCTTTACAAAGCTCTGATTTTCCTTGATCCACCAGTATCTGATATAAAGAAAAAAAATTACTTACGAATTGATTCACAGCTCTTACCTGTGAACCAAATATGCCACGGGGCAAAAGCGAACATTTTTTCCTGCCCCTCAAAATTTGCCCCTGACCATTGACAAATTATTGGGACCAGACTTGTAAGCAAAGTTTTTAGGGACATTGTACTTCTAAATGACTACTCAGTATTTTTTGATTCATAGTTTCTGCTAATGGCTGTCTTTCTCTTATTTTATAAAGCTTAGGTATTCCTGTTTTGACATTTTTACTTTTTTATGCTGGCTGTTTCCTACTTGTTTTAGGCGGGCGCAACACAAACTTTTCCAAAATTGAGAAGGAGAATTCTTTTTGGTCCGTATAATTTGTTATTAATCGCAACGATTTCTTTTGATATTGCATGCGTGGAAAGAGGATACAAAAACTGATTATTTTTTTCATTCTTGTACTAACAAAACAAAAGTTAACTTGAGTTGAGTAAAGTTTGATTAGGAACGCCAAATCGTAATCGCTACCTTTGTCGTTCTGATTCAGATAGAAGCTTTCTGTTTTCGATATTACAGTAGTTCACGAAGGAAAAAGATACTAACTTTTGTGACGAACAAGATTGTCATCTATAACCGGAGGGGAACTAAGAACACACCACAATGACATCAAACATGCAAGAAAAAGTGCCAGTTTGCTTTTATAATCACACTTGTTAACAAGTCACCTCTATTTGCCCGTATTAATATAGTGCTCTAACATGAAGACGATTTTCTATAAAATAGCGAGCAAAGTCTTGGTTGTAGCTCTCTTTTGATACTAACCAGTTCTTCAAAGCAATTAATACACTCAAGACTTAATACCCGGGCCGACGTTGCGGTTTCAAGATCAGACAATCGCGACCAAAATTGGATTCTTTCAAAACGCCGCGACCTAAAAATGGACATTTCCAGACTTTGCAGACCCAAGAAAAGATATCTGCGACCGGCGCGACCGAATAATAGTTAACGGCGACCGGCGCGACCGAATAATAGTTAACGGCGACCTGCGCCCGAGGCCTTTGTTTTGTATTTTTTTATTTTGAGACACTTGTAGTTTTTTGCAGCATATTTCAAACTTGATTATTAATTTAAGCAATGCAATTAAGCAAAACGTACTTCAATGTAACAAAATTTTACTCTCGAGGGTTTCATTTTTTTTGAAGTTTTGTTACTCACTTTCTTCAATTTGAAGCTTACTTATTGCGATATCAAGGCGTAAACACCTAGTAACCTATACTTCTAAAAACTATATATTAGAACTAGGCTTGATAACATGTGTGCGATTTATGTCTGACTGCCGCGACGAAGTTTAATAATATATCGGGACAGGGGCGGATTTAGGGGGACGGAGGGGGGGGGGGGGTGGGGGCGTACGCTCATTTCCCTTAGGGATTCGACCCCCTGTCGACCCAAAGGGTCCCCCCTTTGTACTAGTTTGAAATATCCATTTTTGGTGACGGACCCTAAAATTTTTTTCTGAAGGCGCCTTTGGCGCCAATATATATTAATTTTGAGGGGGAAGCAAAAAAACGCGATTTTTTGGTCAAAACTTTCCAAAAAGTGCCTAAAAACGTCTTGTTTGGACTGTTTTTTCAAAATTTTGCCTGCGGCGCAGAAAATTTGGCCCAAACACTTAATAAACCGTGCTTAGGGAGAGCTCGAAAATCAATTCGGTCGAACTAAAAAAAAAGGTCGACAAATTTTTCGAAATTTTTTTGAAAATCCGCCCCCCCCCCTCGAGAAAATCCTAGATCCGCCCCTGTGTCGGGACTATTTTTTAGACTATATCACAAACAAGTTTGAAAGTTTGAGACCATTTCGCGAATAATTTTAAGATTATGTGGTGACTATGTTTAGAATACGTCGTGGTTATTTTAGACCAACTCGCGAGTAACTTTAAAATAATTCCAACTACCTTCATGGCCCGATCAAACTTCGATATATCCAGGCTTTGTGTGCGACTATAAATCCCTGTCTAGACTATGAATTTTTGGTCGCGGAATTTTCGGGCGCGGCTGTTAAAGTCACAATGCTTGTCGCGGTCCTTCAACTGGGTAATGGAGACCACTCAAAGTGAAGCTACAGCGCTTTAAATGGCAATGGATGTTCTAAGTATTTTTTGCTGTGCTGTTCATTTTGTGGAAAAAAAAATATTGAGATGAGTTACGAAAAAATCCTAAATGAAATGCAGGATCACCAACAACCTGGAAACTGAAGTGCTTAAGTTCAAAATTCCAACTGTGAGTTTTCTGGAATTTTATCATGTTTATAGGGCTGGAATCCAAAAACTATCCAAAAAGTTATGCAATTTTCTTGATATAAGTGAATATTAATTTGTCGCTATGAGTAATCATGAGCTCATCACAGAACTATGCCATTTTTCAAAATACAGTTTGCGCTAAACCGTTCAGTCATCTATCACAAAAAGTGCATACAAACTAAAAAGCATATGTGCTACACTATTTTCTAGATGTCTATACTAAAACTAGGTTCGTGTTGAAAATGCATGAAATCTATTCAAAAGGAAGCCCTGACAGGAAACTACTGGATTGCGCAAAAAGTTAGCACTAAGCAAGCAAAAAAAACGGAGATAAAAAACAGTCTCAATTTTTCTTTCAACTTTGACGGTTGTATTTTAGCTTTTCAAGATGTTTATGAAAGATAAGAACAGATTCTGAACTGATTAACTGTGTAATTGAGTTTACTTCAGTAGCTACCATTAAAAATAAGCATTTTTGAGATTTTAGCACATTTTAACCGCTTGCCTATTTGTAAAAAAAAAAGAATTAGCAAACCCATAAAAATGGGGTCAAGCTTGAACAAATCAGGAAATCACGGAATTTTTAAAAATAATTGGGCATTTTATTCCTTCGCTAATAATTAAAATTCAGAATCAACAAACCCATAACAATGGGGCCAAGTTTAAATTAATCAGGAAAACATGCAAATTTTATTTTTTGCCAATTAGTAATAAAAATGATTAGCAAACTCGTAATAATGGGCCAATCTTAGGTTAATCAGAAAACAATCAATTTAAAGGTTTCATAAATCTATCAGAATAGTGGCTGTCAGACAAAGTGCGCTACAATCATTTCTAGGGGTCTAACTTAAAGTAAGGTTCGTAGTAACAGTCAGGCAAAGGCCAGTTGAAGCGAAGCTAAAACTTGATTTTATTTCAAATCTATCGAAATTTCTAACTTGACTTTGGTCTTCTGACCACCATCTTTTTCCTCCGCCAAAGGATAAGTAGGTCCTTTTAATTCACACAAAAAATTTGAATCTTGACTCCAAAATTAATTTAAGTGATTCGCTTTTACCATTGCAGAAGTACCCTCAAATTTTGGGCGTCTAGTTTGACCCAGCTCTTAACTTCTCCGAACACTGCAGAGAATCTGCAAGTGAAACCATGCGCAGGATATTGGTCCTGAAGGCTTTGTCGGGTACAAATTGTCGAATGAGACTCTAATAGTTACATATAGATTTTTAATAAGACCGATGATTGAATATGTTTGTCCAACCTGAGCCCATGCTGCCAGTGATAATTTCATTAGAAAAACGCAAACAGTGGAAAATGCAGCTCTTTAAATGGTGAGTGGGTGCACTAAAACGAAGCTGTTGACCACCTATACTCATAGTTTAAACTATCTAAAATGAGAACTCACCATAAGATATTTGCATTTCATTTCGCTCTCAAAACTTAGGTGCCTTTAAATCTCTCACATTTTTTCACACTCACCACCCCCCCCCCCTCAACAAAATTACGCCAAAATATTAAAGACACTGTCAAAGACGAACTTCAACTTGTTTATAATGAGGTAGACTAGTCCAACTCTATTACAGACTTTAACCAGCTTAGCGTTTGTGTAAACCAGAAGTTCAAAACGCTTCTAAAGCAGATTTACAATCACAGAGTTCAAAAAGCCATAGATGAAACCACTCAACTAAAATTTCACCCTCTTAGTGCACCAGATGTCTGTTCAACAGAATCGACACTCCCGCGATCAACTAGACGCACCCTTGCTCAAATAAGATCCGGCTACAGTCCCTGCCTTTACAATTTTTTAACATAGGATAGACCCGAACTTCCCCCTAAATTGCCCCCAATGCACTGCAACCCACACTGCACTTCATCTTTTTAACTGTCCCAAAAGTTAACCTTTCTGATCATAAGAGATCTAGGGCTCCGACCGCAATTGGTGCCTGAATTTTCCCTAGTCTCGGCGAGAGCATGGCGGATGCGCCCAAATGTCGGGCTAAAATCAACAACAGCAAGATTAGCTTTCATTTAGCAAAAAAACCCAAGAGAGTAACTGTATGGCTAATGCTTTTGTTCGCTCAACGTCAAATCGTTAACACCCAAATATTGATCATTCAATAATTCAGTTTTTTCGAGATTTGTAGGAAAATGCGTAATTTTTTTATTGCTATCCACAAAGTTATACAAATTTTGAGATTTTAGCGCTTATTTAGCCTCGTGCAAACTTCCAAAGACAGTTATAAGCAAGCTCATAAGCTCATTCACTAAATTTCCAAGGATCTGATTTTAAGTATTTCGTCTGCTGGAAAAACCGAAAGTTCAACTAATGCAGTGCTTTCGAACAAGAACTTTTTGATGTTGTTTGAAAAAGATTTTTTAACTACTTGGTATCTTCACATTCTAACAGATCATTATGCGGCATTTAGTGCTGTTTTTGAATTCAATGTTTCTCCAACAATTGTGCATTATATTTACAGATCCTTTGTTTGCCAATTCATCGGTATAACTTGACATGGTATGTCAAAAATCAACAATACGTCGAGAAAACTTTTTATTAGAGATGTATCGTAACTTACAGCGTCAGTTTTCATAGTTCAGTGAAAATGGAACCAATTTTTTTTTCTGGCGTGATCCTATTTTTTGCGTAACTCAAGGAAGTATGCAGTTAACAATCTTCTTATGTGTTCTGTGCTTCTTCAACGCCTGCTATTTGTTATCGTTAGCGGCTGACACATCTGAGAACAATCCATTCGAAGAAAAAACTCTCAATGGACAGGAAATACGGGAGGCTGCGTTGTCTCTAAGAAGAGGCGGAGTTAGCGCAAAACCGAGACTGGAACATTACCTACTGAGGCTAGTTAGAGCAAACAGCAGTGATTCAGGGCGATCGAAAGGTGTGAATTATTTCTTTAAAGAAAGAAACATTAGTTGATAATCAGG